GCAAAGTTGAAGGCTATCACGCTTATTCACATCCCACTCTGACCTTTATGCTCTTTGCTTCCAGGTTCATCTGCAGGATCGAGTTAGGTACTCAGGTACATCCATGTCCGCCTAAAACGTTGCCCTACCTAATAAAGCTTAGTGTGAAAGTCAGAAGAAAACTGTTCTTAGGGGAAGTAAAGATCTACTCTCAGTTGTGAGAGTGTATCAAAGCACCTGGATGTGTTCGTTCAGGCCTTCACTGATGCACACACAGTTGATGTCACCCAGTATTTCAGTTTAGACAGTGCTCCCCCCACCCCCAGCACCCAGTTTGAAGGGAAAGAGGGTGGATTCATGGCTGCATCACTGTTGGGCTTTTGTGCACCATTTCATTCTGTGAGTGAAGGTCTATTGTTCTGGATAATGGAGCCAGTGCTGTTCACAAATAGAAGCAGGAAAGACCAGAGTGAAAAACACTGGAGCCGCAGGCTGCAGAGGGGAAGCCAGATTACAGCGAAACGCCTGAAACAATGGTGGGCTGTAACGTAAAAGGTACTGTGTGTGATTTAGTTTGCACAACCGCAAAACATGTCCTTTAATTCAGAGGAAGTTTCACTGCATTCATTCACGTTTTGGGGCTTAGCTTTGTACTGTATTGTGCTGCGAGCAACCGAGAGATTCTATAGTTGGAGATGAGAGTGAAGCCACAGCACTGCTACTGTCTGCATGTTGATGTTTGAGGCCACTGATGGGATTTTGCTTGAGAGCTGCAGTCTGATAACGAAGGACGCCACCATTTTTTGTGATCGCCCTCTGCAAACTCAAACTTTCACCCCCAGAGGACAGTTTTAGTCTCATGAGGCTTTGTTTTGTCTCCGAGGCAGTGTGGTATATAAAGTGTTTTTAATGATGTGCCTGGTTACACAAACACTAGTTTAAATATGTCTGTGAAGGTTCTCAGTCATCCAGGTCTTCGTAGTCAAACGAGCTTGTAAAGAAAAGCGTCTGGACTTCTTTAAGTTACTTGAAGAATTTGACCTTAGAACTGAAGAAGCTTCTCAGATGAGAGGTTGTTGAGACAACGCCGGTCTCTGCGATTCTTTTGGTCCTGGTAGAGATCACGCTGAGATGTTTCCATGTTTTACACAATCCTTTTATTACCCATTATTCTTACAGATGCATCTGGAAATCAGCACACTGCATTCCTATGCAGTCTTATGCTAAAGGCTGATCTAAAGAACTCCACACAACAGTTACAGTTATAACCTCTGGTCTCCTCCCCCCTACAGTAAACACCCCCACAATGGAAATACACTAGGCCAAGGGTGCTGACACCCTGACCCCCATCTTCTTTTATGGTAGTGCCCATTTGCCCTTTGTCTGCTTCTCACCCTCAGTAACTCTTGCTTCATGCCCTGGGGGTGGGGGTTGATTGTTCTTGTTCTTGAACCTCAGTTCTTTGTTCCCATCCCAGGCCTATTTTCTATTTTGTATCCTTACACCCATTACCACAATATTATAATGTTGCAAGCAATCACAACTATATTCTCTTTAACGTTGATGTACATTAAGGAATCTATTCTCAACAAGGTGAAATGTCTTCAAGCAACTTAAAGAAGTCCAGACGCTTTTCTTTGCAAGCTCCTTTGACTAGTTTAAATAGTT